CCCAGTCATACTACTTCGAGGCATCTACCCTGAACAACAGGAACCAGTAAACAAGGACACATGCTCCTCCATGTTTATTGCAGCACTGTTCACAATAGCCAGGATATGGAAACAACCCAGATGTCCCACCACAGATGAATGGATCCAAAAATTGTGGTATCTATATACAATGGAATATTATGCCACTATTAGAAACGACAAAATAATGGCATTTTCAGGGAAATGGATGGAGCTAGAAGAAATCATGTTATTCTAGGTAAGCCAAGAACAAAGAGACAAATGGCACATGGTCTCCCTGATAAGTGGATGTTAAATCCAAAATGTTAGGTAATACGACAAAATTAACAGGACTTAAGAAACAAAGGACTTCCACTCATCTGGTCGAATCACTAAAATAACCCCCATGCCACTGATCGCATGTATGATATATATGTGCACACCAGAAGGAAACCAGGAAGATGACACAGAACTAGAGGAAATCAGGGGAAAACATACAACAGTGGGACCCATCAGCTGCACTGGACATTGACCAAAATGAACTAAGCAACTCAATGGCAGCGATGGGAGGGAGGGAACAAGTGGGAAAGAGGGAACAGGTGATGCTATGCAAAACAAAAGAAATGTACATATCACCCAATGTGGAAGAAATAACTGTATTGTAAAGCTCATAGAACTCATAAATGTTATAGACCATGATAGACAATTTGTCCTATGAAAGTTAGAATGTGTTTGTGACTTTAACTAAGCTTCACTATCCCACAATACTGTGAAATTTGGGGAATTATGTAACCACTTAATCACAGTAAAAATTTTGAAAAAAAAAGTAGCTTCAGTTCCCTGTAATCCCCACTTTGGAGGTAGAGGCAAGAGGACACATGCTAAGGCCACCAAGACACAGCCATGAGACCCCATCTGAAAAGCAAAGGTGGAGGGCTCAGGTGACAGGGCTGGGCCAGGGCACAAGGGACAGGGCTCAAAGAACAGGGCTTGGGACAGGGCTCAGGGGATGGGGCACAGGGGATGGGACACAGGGGACCGGCACAGGGGATGACCATAGGGGACAAGGCTCAGGGGACAGGGCTAGGGATGGGGCACAGAGGATAGGGCACAGGAGAAGGGGCATGGGGGACAGGGCATGGGGGATGGGGCACAGGGGATGGGACATGGGGGACAGGGCATGGGGGATGGGACATGGGATGGGAACAGGGGATGTGGCGCAGGGGACAGGACACAGGGGATGGGGCACAGGGGACAGGACACGGGATGGGGCACAGGGGACAGGCACAGGGGACGGAACACAGGACGGGCACAGGGGACAGGGCACAGGGGATGGGACACAGGGGATGGGGCACAGGCTGCTCCAGGCCCAGGCACAGGGGAGGGCCACAAGAGGAAGCCTCACTAGAGAGAAATATTCTGCAATTTTTATTAAAAAGAGAGAAAAAGAAGGAAAAAAGGAAGGAAGGAGGAAGGAAGAAAGGAAGAAAGAAGGGAAGAGGGAAGGAGGAAAGGAGGGAAGGGAAGGAGGGAGGGAGGGAGGGTCCCCTCAGACAGTAGGTGAATTTGTTCCTCAGAGCAGCGGAGTCTTCCCATCCACCGCAGACTAAGTGGACTGGAAGGTGAGCACAGACAGACATTAATGTGGAGAGTCATAGCCAAAGAGCTTACAGCATGGCAGGAAGTCCCTGCAGAGGAGTGGGAACAGCACGGCCACCCGGGCTGAGAGGGAGCTGAGAGCAGCCCTGTGCAGGCCTGGGCCATCCTCGGCCGTCCTCCTGCCTCACTCATCCGACACACACACACTGGCTTGAGTGTCGAGGGAAAGGCTGAAGGCCAAGTTGCACCTGGAATACCGAGCTCAAGAAGGCAAGACGTTACACCATGCGCTTAAACACTTACACGCACATCTAGAATACATCGTGTGTGCGTCCGCCTTGGGTTTCCGGAAGCGGAGCACTTACTGAGGGCTGCAGAAGAGCCTCCCTGCTCTCTGTGTGCTGGGAAAGGGCCTCTCGTGCACTCGCTTCAGGTCGGCACAGGTGATAGCAGAGAAGACAGCAGTCTGGGACAGCCAGGCCTAGGTCCTGGGCAGTTTGAGGAATCCCTGGGACACACCCACACCTCCGTTTCCACAGGAGGAAAAGGAACACAGAGTACAGATATCACAGACTTGGGGTCCATGTCCATAGACGTCTTCATCTTGTTTGCAATTGCTAAGTTTTATGTTATTGTCTAAACGACTAAAACGCTGAAATCATCTTGCTTTTCATTTCAATGGTCCTTCTGTTCATACAGGGTTTTGGTGTTTGCTCATAGTAGGAAAAGACAACACAGGTACCTCAGCCTGAGTCGGCTTTGATTAGCTGAGTCACCTCCTTTTTCTGGGAGAGGACAGGAAAGAGTAACCCCAAAATGTTGATGTCTAAATGTGAAATCCAGTGTTGGGTGAGGAAGAGTGGAGGGAGATCAAGGACCTTTGACCAAGACAAGAGGCCTAGGAAAGCAGGAAGAAATGCAGAAGACAATGGTGTGTGTGTGTGTGTGTGTGTGTTTACATGCACATATGTGCACACAAGTGCAAGTGTACTGGAGCTTGAACTCTCCTGTAGCTTTTTCCAGCAAAGCTGGTGCTCTACCACTTGAGCCACACTTTTACTTTTGGCTTTTTGCTGGCTAACTGGAAATAAGTCTGCCTGGGAAACTGCCTGCCTAGGCTGGCTTCGAATCTCAACCCTCAAATCTCAGCCATTGGTGTCAAGATCACTTTTCGTGACGTCAAACACATTTCTGTGGTTATTAGCTTGGTTAAATTATGTTTTAAAAATGTTCTCCAGGGCTGGGAAGTTGGCTCAGTGGTAGAGCGCTTGCCTTGCATGCCTGAGGCCCTGGGTTCGATTCCTCAGCACCACATAAGCAAAAAGAAAAAAGCCGGAAGTGGCGCTGTGGTTCAAGTGGTAGGGCACTAGCCTTGAGCTGAAGAGCTGAGGGACAGTGCTCAGTCCCAGAGTTCAGGCCCCACAACTGGACCAAAATAAATAAATAAATAAATAAAATAAAAATAAAAAATGTTCTCCAAGGGACAATCAGAGAAGTTCAGTCACTTTCCTGGACCTCAGCCCCATCTATGGGAGACTAGAGCCAACGTTGGAAAAGGCCACCAAGGGAGAAGGGGGAAACATCACAAAATTCTTTGAAATCTTGGGTTGGAAAGTAGCTCGCTCAAGCAGGTGGCACACTGCCCAGGAGCTCAATCACCAGAGCTATTTTCTTCAAATAACCCTCATGACATTCCTTTTGAAATAAAACAACGTCAGGCCTCTCAGAATCCCTGGTAGGCAAGAGAGAGAAACACAACAGCTAGTGGTAGGGTGAAGATGTCAAATTCATGAATAGAAAATTGAAGAACAGAGGGCATCTGGGCCTCGTGCTGTTGCTGAGCCCTGCTGTAATGCTGTGCTGTGGATAAGCATCAGAATCACATGCAAAGCAGGGACGGGCCTACCGTGGAGGGCCCACTGTCAAACTAAACCCAGCATTCTACTGTTGACCTCGGCCAGCCTCAGTCCCTGACAAACAGATACATCCTCTTACCACATGAACCCTGGTGGATTGTTCTGGAGACTCCCCACTTCTTAAAAAGAGGTTCAATATGATATACCAAGATTTAGTTTTAGTCATCGTGGCTCTTGGTATCCCCAGATTAATATTGTTACAGGGCCAAGTGCTCCAACGACATGATAAAAGAAAATCACCATTTGCTGGGTTCCAGTAGCTCAAGCCTAAAACCTTAGCTATTCTGAAGTGCAGATCTGAGTATTTGCCAGACAAGGCAGACAAATCTTAGAGTCTTTTATATCCAATTAGCCCAAAGTAGAGCTGTGGCTCCAGAGGTAACACCAGCCTTAAGCAAAAGGCCAAGGGAGAGCTCAAAGTCCTGAGTTCAAGCACTAATTCCAACACACACATGTGCACATACATACTCACACGTATTCACACATGTGAATACATGTGGACACATGTACACAGGATTCCACACACGTGTGCATACACACATGAAAACACATGTACCCACATTCGTACACATGCAAACAATGCACACAAGTGCGCACACTCCTTCACACACTCATGCATACAAGCACACACTCCTTGCTGGAATGGAGCACATGCTGCCCCTCCTCCACACACTGCCTGCCTGCCCCTGCGGTCACTCTCCCTGCCCAGGCCAGCCACTGATGGTGTCCACCTGCAGTGGAGGACAGGCTTCCGTAGCTGTCTGGTACGAGGCCCAGGCCAGGGTCAGCACGCACAAAAACACTGACCAGTGCCCTGATGCACCCACAGCCTGAAGGACTCGAACTGTGGCCAGGATGGGTGAGGAGGGGACAGGATGGGGGAACAGGACATGGGGACAGGATGGGGGAACAGGACGTGGGGACAGGATGGGGGGACAGGACGGTGGAGGAGGGATGGTTGAGGGCCCGGCCGGGACTCCTGCAATGAGAGCGCATGCAAGTCCTCCCTTGTGCAGCCCTGCCCTCACCTTCCGGAGACCCAGGGGGTCACTGAGTGGGGGAGACCCGGGAGTCACCAAGTGGGGCTGGCGTGGGCAGAGGACTGAGACCTGAGTCTCCAACAGACAAGCAAAAGCCAGATATGGGGCTGGGAAGGTGGCTCAGTGGTAGAGCGCTTGCCTTGCATGCCTGAGGCCCTGGGTTCGATTCCTCAGCACCACATAAGCAAAAAGAAAAAAGCCAGAAGTGGCGCTGTGGCTGAAGTGGTAGAGTGCTAACCTTGAGCTGAAGAGCTGAGGGACAGCGCCCAGGCCTAGAGTTCAGGCCCCACGACCGGACCCAAAAAAAAAAAGCCAGATATGGTGCTGTGGCTCAACAGACAGAGCACCAGCCTTGAACAAAAAATATAGGGACAGCGCGAAGCCCCGAGTTCGAGCTCAGGACTGTCACGAACATGTGGTGGGGTCAAGGCTTAGCTCAGGGTCGCACCTCACATCTGTTCCCTGTCCGCCCTTTTCCTCAACTTCCCCAGTGGCCTGTGCCTTCATCTCCATGAGGACCCTGTCATCCATGTGAGGACCCCGTCATGTATATGAGGACCCTGTCATCTGTGTGAAGACCCTATCATCCATGTGAGGATCCCGTCATGTGTGTGGGAAAACCCCGTCATGTGTGTGAGGACCCTGTCATGTGTGCGAGGACCCTGTTGTGTGTGTGAGGATCCTGTCATGTGTGTGAGGACCACATCACATGTGTGTGAGAACTCCATTATGTGTGTGAGGACCCTGTCATGTATATGAGGACCCCATCATGTGTATGTGAGAACCCCATCACCTGTGTGAGGAGCCCCCCATTGTGTGTGTGAGGACCCTGTCATCTGTGTGAAGACCCTATCATCCACATGAGGATCACATTGTGTGTGTGAGGACCCCATTGTGTGTGTGAGGACCCTATTGTGTGTGAGGACCCTGTCATCTGTGTGAGGACCCTGTTGTGTGTGTGAGGACCCTGTTGTGTGTGTGTGAGGATCCTGTCATGTGTGTGAAAACCCTGTCCTCTCTGTGAGGACCCTATCATGCATGTGAAGACACTATCATATGTCTGAGGACTCCGTCATGTGTGTGAGGACCCTGTCACATGTGTGTGTAAGGACCCCGTCATGTGAGGACCCTGTCATGTGTGTGAAGACACTGATGTGTGTGAGGACCCCATCATGTATGTGAGGACCCCGTCATGTGTGTAAGGACCCTGTTGTGTGTGTGAGTACCCTGTCCTGTGTGTGAGGACCCCATCATGTGTGTAAGGACCCTGTCATGTGTGTGAGAACCCTATCGTGTATGTGAGGACCCTGTCATGTGTGTGAGGACCCCGCCAGTATGTGTGAGGACCCCGCCAGTGTGTGTGAGGACCCTATCATGTGTGTGAGGACCCCATCATGTGTGTGAAGGCCATGTCCTCTGTGTGAGGACCCCGTCATGTGTGTGAGGACCCTATCCTCTGTATGAGGACCCCATCATGTGTGTGAAGACCCTGTCATCTGTGTGAGGATCCTGTCACCTGTGTGAGGATCCTATCACCTGTGTGAGGATCCTATCCTCTGTGTGAGGATCCTGTCATGTGTGTGAGGACCCTGCCATGTCTGTGAGAACCCCATCTGTATGTGAGGACCCTGTCATGTGTGTGAGGACCCTGCCAGTGTGTGTGAGGACCCCATCATGTGTGTGAAGGCCCTGTCCTCTGTGTGAGGACCCCATCATGTGTGTGAGGACCCTATCCTCTGTGTGAGGACCCTGTCATGTGTGTGAAGACCCTGTCATGTGTGTGAGGATCCTGTCACCTGTGTGAGGATCCTATCCTCTGTGTGAGGACCCTGTTGTGTGTGTGAGGACCCCATCTTTAGTTCTGTGCAGGCAGGCTGGCAGTCTCCCCGCACCCTGGGGAACCTGGACTGGTGTGAGTCCGGTGATGGGCGCCCCTGATTACACCCTGTGAGTTCACCCTGGTGCTATGTGGGCACCCACTAGAGGGTGCAGGAGGAGAGCAGTGGGGGGGTGGGAGGTCTCCCCGGGCACCCAGGACAGAGGCGGACAGGGAGAGGAATCCAGCGGCTCACGCCTGTAATCCTAGCTACTCAGGAGGCTGTGATCTGAGGACTAAGGTTTGAAGCCAGCCCAGGCAGACAAATCCAAGGGAACTTTATCTCCAATTAACCACAAAAAAGCCAGAAGTTGAGGTGTAGTTGAAGTGGTAATGCCCCAGCCTGGAGGAAAAAGCTAAATGAGAACGTCCTGAGCTCAAGCCCTAGTACTGCTACACACACCACAAAGAGACAGCACGTCTCCAGATTTGCCCATTCTCAGAGTCTCAGCACCATCATGATGGTGACACACCACACTTCCTTTGTGCGCTGCGTCCTCAGCTGGACCAAAGAGCCAAGAACACTATTGTTCCACACCCGCAGTTCCCGTCCACATGCAGCCACCCTAAGAGGCACCTTCCCCCCACCCCCCTGCCCCAAGGCCAGGTTCAAAACAAAATGGAGCTTACACTGCCTTCACAGAAGGAGTCAAGCTTTGCCCTTTGAGATAATGTCACAGAAAACTACAGAGGGCAGGGTGGGCACTGGGCAGGGGCCAGGCACAAGGCAAGGGTGGGGCACAGGGGAGGGGCACAAGAGCCCTGCTCAGCCTCCCCTTTCGGGCAGCACTGGGCTTGAAATCTGCAAAACGGAGATGCCAGGAAGGGGCAAATCCTCCCGTCCACTGGGCTCCTTTCCTTCCACCCTTGAACAACCAAGATGATTCTCAACAAAAGTAATTTTCTGCTTCTCTTGTTCAATTCCATTTATCTTTTTAAAAGCAATTAGTCCTCCCAAGAGTTCCTTTCTGCTCGACTAATTGTGTCTTAGTTCAGGAGTTAAGTGCCTCTCTGTCCATTTAGACAACTACAATAAGATCTAGTTAAAAGTGCCTATTTTTAGAGTAGTCTCTCTGCTTTGTAAATATTTAAACTATCAGGGAAGGAGGGGTATTATTTTTATCTCAAGGTATTCCTGCATACAGTGTATTCCGATGAATTAATCAGCAGGTACACTGGAAACTAGTACACAAGAGAGGACTCAAATACGCACTGAGAAAAGTTCCACAGAGTTTGTAGTTTTCCTTTGTAAACCAATATGACTTGCTTACCTGAGCCTGGGTGAGGCAAACTGACCCCTAGACATTGATCCAACAAGCATAACTCCTTACAGAAGACCAGAGTTACGAAAACCAGCCAGTCAGAGAAGGCCGATTGAGAGAGAGTTGACCAACTTCAGAACTCAAATCATGTCAAGGGTTTATGTGCCATCAAGATCGTGAATGGCAAGAGAAAGGACTAAAGAGGAGAAATTTTTACTCCCATCCCTTTGGACTTTTTATCCAGTCCTTTTCCTTGTCTTTCCTTCCTTTTTCTTCCTTATTTCTTTTTTCTCTTCCTTCCTTTTTTTTCCCCTTCAGTATTAAAGTTTGAACAGAGAGCCTTGAACTGCTAAGCAGGCACTCTGCCACTCGATCCATGCCTTCAGCCTTTTTGGTATTTTTAATTTTCAGATAAGTTCTCAAGTTTATACTCATTCCAGAATGGACCTCAGTCCTTCAATGTATGCTTTTTTTTTTTTAATAGCTAGGATAACAAGTGTGCACCATCATGCTCAATTTGGTTGAAGAGTTTCATGGACTTCCTGCCTTATGGCTTTGAACTGTGGTCCTCAGATCTCAGCCTCCTGAGTAGCTGGAATGACAGGCGTGAGCCAGCAGCACCCAGCTCCCTGGGATTTTATCACTCCTTTTTCCAGACTCTGGATAACAGAGGAGGGAAAAACTCAAGGCACACTACAAATTCTCACTCTAATCTGTTTGACCTCAGCTACTATGGGCACATTCCCCAGCTGGGAGACTTAATGAACTTCAAGTTGGGGCTTAGGAGCACTCTTGCCTCCTGGAGCTGAGTTCTGTGTGTCTTTCCAGGTGTCTTTGGTAAACAGAAAGACAGAAACCTTGAGGTTCAGGAAGCAAAGAACCATTTTATTAGATCTGGAACCTCCAGCGTCAAAACCTCATTACAGAAATCACAAAGCACTCGGAAGAGGCACTCTCCTCAGGACTCCTCTGGAACTTTCCATGGGTTGGCCAGGGCAGGAAGCCCCAGGGACGGGACATGTGGACAGAAAGAAGAGCAGTGAGGTGACACTGAGCAACAAGGAGAGGACATGAGTGACCACAGGGCCCTGACACAAGCAAGGTGTGCGCCTCACAGGAGGTGCTGACTTGGGCCGTGGTTCCAGAAGTCAGCCAAATTAGCAAGCCACTGGTAGCCTAGGTCTAAAGTTGAATCAGGAGCGGGTGGGCTGGCGGCTGTCTTGCTCAGTTCCACAGTGCTGTATCTGATTGGTCCAGAGCATGATGGAGCCCCTGACCATTCACCCGATGTTAGTGAAAAATAAAAAGGAACCACCGTGACCCACCCAGCGGGTTCTGACCTGAGCGGGGCCCACCCTTTACATAGCCAGTACCAGGCCTGGCCTGACCTCACTTGCCTGCTCCCAGACCCCAGTGCACACCACCTCTCAGCCACATTCGCTCCTTTAACACAGCCTTAAGGTCTTCGGGTCCCACGTGAGTACCCAGGAAAGCAAATCATTTGAAGAGAGCGGTTGTATTAACAAGGAGCAGGAAAAGTGTGTACCAGTCACAACTGCAGACACAGCCATGAGCTGGGAAATAAATCCGTGTGTGTGTGTGTGTGTGTGCGCTCACACGTGTGCATGCCTGCACGGGAGCAGCTGCTGCCCAACTACAGGAGCAGTGCAGAGCCAGGGGTTTGCACCCAGGGTGACCTGAACCTTCTTCTGCCTTCTCAGAAAGCGGAGGGCTCTGGGCAGCAGGACTGCAGTGTGCTCCTTCTTCATTTCTGCAGCAGAGGGAGCTTCAATGCATAAATATGCATGCAAGGATGGCAGGCTTTTCTTAGAATCTGGGTAGGAGAGAGAAAGGGGCAGCGAGATCCTGCAAAAAGCCAGCCTGGAGGAGGCACTGTGCAAACCTGTACACTGCCCGGCGAGAGGAAGCGAATTAGGGAACTGGCCATGGCCTTAGGAGTCTTGGAGAATACACTGGACCCTTCTGCTAATGAGCTTGGAGAACCCAGAACATTTTATTTATTTTATTTATTTATTTTTTTGCAAGTCCTGGGGCCTGAACTCAGGGCCTGGACGCTGTCCCTCAGCTCTTCAGCTCAAGGCTCGCACTCTAACACTTGAGCCACAGCACCACTTCTGGCTTTTTCTGTGTATGTGATACTGAGAAATCGAACCCACAGCTTCATGCATGCGAGGCAAGCACTCTACCACTGAGCCACACTCCAGTCGAACCCAAAACATTTCGTTCTAAGATGAGCTTTGACAGAAAGCAGCTTTCTGAAGCTGGGGCCCCGGTGCCCTGTGCACAGGCACGCTGGCAGCACAGCTGTTCGTCTGTTTCTATCGTATTGGATCTCTTCACATCTCCAGATGGAATGAATTGCTGGATCTCAG